AGCTGTCACTCCCTGTGGTTAGGCCCTGGTCTTAGAATGGCAGACCTGGAGGGCAAAAGGCTGGAACACAGACCCGGGTCCTGGATGAGCGAGCAGGTCGATGAGGCGAATGATGGGTGAGGCCAAGGAGCCAGTGTCCTGGTCCTTCGTGCAGGAACCTTCCACAAGGCCACCCAGCCCGACCCCAGTCCTGAGGTCACGGGCAGCCCAGTGTTGCCCAGAGTCTCAGAAGCAGACCAGGGCTTTTCCGTTCTGTTTCCCCAAGGACGGTGGTAACTGGTCCCGGTTCTTATGGGTTTAAACTTTATCCAAAAGAGAGTCCTGGGGGTGGGAGGCAGTGATCACCCTGAGAAGGCATTTCCTTCTCATGATCCCAGACTGGTGGGTATGGGGGAGGGAGAGGGAAAGACGGTCACTGAGACAGGTTCTAGGAGCCTCCAGGAACCCCTAGGAACTCTGTCTCCGGGGAGGGCCCACTCCCTCCCACATAGGGAATCCACTCCCAGCCTCCTGGGTGCGCAGCCCCAGCCTTGGTGAGCGCCCTCTGCTTATACTTCTCCTCGCACCCCACCTTCGCCCCATCCAGGAATGGGGACCAGGGGCCACCCTTCTCCGTCCAGTGCTCCTTCGGCATGAGCTGACAGCTCCCCCCCATCCCAAAACAGTGGTACTGGAGGGCAGGGAGAAGAGAGGGGAGGGGAGGGGAGGGGAGGGGAGGAGAGGAGACGTCTCCTCTGGGTCTGGATGCACCATAGGCCCCGCCCCTGCCAAGCTGCAAGCCACACCTCTCACCTGGCTTGGCCTTGCAGCCCCAGGTACCAAGGCTCCCTGGAGGTCTCCTGAGGGCAGTTGCAGGGCAGACTGTAGGAAAAGAGAAAGGAAGGCGTGTTCAGAAGGCCGGGCTCCGGAGAGGAGAGCGTGTAGCTGCGGGAAGCCGCCTCGGTCCAGATGCGCTGAGGTTGCTCTCCTCCTCCCACTGTAGACAGGGCACCCGTGGCCACAGTCAGAACCCAGCCCCTGCCCACAGAGGAGCCCAGGATGGCGTCTGCCCAGCCCAAGGAGTGCAGGGGATCTTCAGCCCTCCCAAGTCAGCCCGGAGCCTGTGCCACCCCCACGCCATGACATGGACATGCTAATCGAACATCACCGCCTGTCTTTCCTTCCAGCTGGGATATTATCAGCTTGCTGTGGGAACTCGGGTTTCCTCAGGCTGCAAAAGGCTTTCTGAGTAATTTGGGAAGTGGGAAAGAGAATTAATCACTGCTTGACGGAGGCAGGCTCTGCGCAGACCAACGCTCTCAAGATCTGCCATCCATGCACAGAGAAGTCAAAGAGGAGAGGTCTCTGGCAATGAAAAGCAGCTCGGGCACAGGGTGCAGAGGCCAGAAGCCCAGCCTGCCCCGCTTCTCCCTGGCAGCTTGACCAAGAGTCCCCAGGTCATGGGAAAGGATGAATTCAGCTTGTCCAGGCCGCGTACCTGCCAGCCAGGCTCAGGCCAGTCCGGGAGACAGTTCACATGCACAGCTGGGAAACGGGAGGGGGGATGCATGGCCACCAGGGCAGAGGAGCAATGAGCCGTGTCCCCACAGTCCCCTCCCAGACTCCAGCCCACGGGGACTGAGGCACCCAGCCGCAGAAGCCCTGAGCAGATTGCTGTCAGGTCCCCTGGAAGGATAACTCCAAGAATCCTGAGTCCTTTATCATCCTGTGAGAAAGGCTCTCCACTCTAGGGATGAAGACTGAGTTCAGAAGAGCTAAATAACGAGCCCCAGGTTGGACCGCTGGAACCGGGCAGGGCCAGGACCAGAACTCAGGCCTTGGAGAGTCCAGCCTGGGCCAGTGCTATCTCACGCCGGCGCACACAGGGGAGCCACAGGTTCAAGGTCTACCCCTACCCCGCAGCAGTGCACCCACTCAGGGAGGGGGTTCTCGGAACTCCAATTAACTGATGGGAAACAGAGCTTGGCAGGGACATGGCCTTGTCCTCTGCCTCGGATGGCCACCCAGGCAGGTGTGGCCACCATGGCCCAGACCAAGGCTCCAATCCCAGGAATTCACTGCACAGTAGCACGTGCACACACAGACGTACATAGCTTTCCTGTTCTTCTTTTCCTTTTTGGGTGTATGTGCTCACCAGAGAGAGAAAGCAAAAAATCACCCTCCAGGGGAATGGCTACGCCGCAGTCCCTTCTCCCACATTCTCCTCTCAGGATTTTGGGCACACACACACACACACACACACACATGGGCCCCCACACACACACACACACACACACACACACACATGTCCAGCCTGATTCTCAAGCCCCTGGGTCTGGGACTTGAACCGTGCAGCTGGCCATGTGAGATCCAGCACCTTAACCTCCACACCACTTGCTGGCCTCACCACTTTCATTTTTAACTACAAAAGTGAATGTTCTTCTTCACCCACCATCCTACCTAACAGATAGAAGCACTGCAAAGACTCTGGGACGCAACTTTCTAGACTCCACTCTACATAATCACATATGTATGTCCGTGTGAGTATGGGCTGGGCCACATGTGCACATCGTGTGAGTTTTTACACACATGAGACCTTACTTCACACATTCTACAGTGTCCCTGGTTAAGGACGTCGTGTGCGCCTATGAGCGTGAGCCCATGCAGATCTCCTCGCGTCCTTTTCATGGCTGCATAGTATTCCACAGTGAACAGGGCCCATGACTTCTATATCATGGGTTTTGCTACCGCCGGGCTCTGTGGGGTATTTCCATTCAGGTCTCTACAGCCTTGCCGTGAAATCCCCCAGAGACACTTCTCTGAGTGGAAATAGCCAGGCAGTTCTGAAGCCCAGATGCTACACCATGGACAGCTGGTGGAGGCTCAGCACGTTCCACATCTGGATGGATGCCGACCCACAGCTGACCCAAAATGCTGGATCCACTCACCTCAAAGAGCAGGGAAGGAGCCCCTGCTCTTGGGTGTGGATTCGAACCCAGGACTCTGCCTTGGCCTGGCCTTTCTGGTCCCTGCTACTTGGATGGAGCACCCCCCCACCCCCCGCCTGGGCCTCACTGAGGAACTGTGCCCACCTGAGCCGGGAACTGCGTTTACAGCTCAGAACTGATAATGAGCTTTGATGAGCTCCAGGGACCTGGCGGAAGGCGTATTAATGTCAAGCGCGCCTGTCAGCCACACAGCCCGGGCGAACGCGCACAGAACAGAATGCGAGGCTGCAGGCCGCGTGTCGGGGTGGGCAGGACCCGTCAGGAGCAGAGCCTGAAAGCTCCTTCTATCTTAGGGGGATTCTGGCTCCCCCAGCGGAGAGGGGATTAGCTTATTACCAGGCTGCCAGAGAAACTTGGTGCTGATCCTAATTCCCATTTAAGCAAATCTGCATTGTGTGAGGGAAACCGGCTGGGTTAGCAATGTCTCCCCCTTCCCCGAGATCCCATCCCTGCCCCTCTGCCTCTGCCAGGGGTGGGGGTGGTGACTAGAGATGTGAGAGCTGGAGATCTCCTGGGAAAGAGACGAGAGTCCCAGGGTTGACAAGAGGCGGTGTGGGAAGAGGTGGGCCCGCCATGAGAGCTGCCCTTGACTTGAGTGTGGGGCTATAGGAAGGAACGTTCTAGAAGGGGGAGTAGCTCCAGCTCCCACCGCACCAACACTTCCCCAGCCCAGATGTCCTCTTGCTTTGTAAAGTGCCCCAAGGTGTGCGGGGCTCAGGCTGAAACCCACACCCAGCTCTTACTGACTGTCGCCTGGAGCAAGTGACTGGCCTACTCGGTGCTTGGGCCCCTCCTCCGGGAAACAAGCTTACAGAGGCCGGCCCTAGGCTGAGTGAGCCTGGGAGAAACGGCCAGGGGCTTAGCGGGCAGCCTGGCACACAGCACGGGGGCTTTGGGGTGTGATTTTATTTATTTATGTATTTTTAGGTTTTTGCTATAGGGTGTGTGTGCTGGCCAGAGAGGGACAGAGAGAGCGAAAGTGAGAAATGACCCCAGGGGAATGGCCATGTTGCAAATCCCTTTCTCCCCCATTCTCCTGGGATGTGGGGCACACACACTCATATAAGCTTCCAGGTCCAGGA